GGGAGCTCCAGTCCTTATTTGAGCTGGCTGGGTAATTATTTGGGTTGCTCCAACAGCTGGTTTGAAAATTTGTGTGCCAGGTGCTGAGAATACATGTAAAAAAAATATTGTTAATCAATAAGCAACAACAACTGTAAAAAAATATTGTTAATCAATAAGCAACAACAACAACAAAAATCAAGTTTTAGGAGGACATTACCATACCTTGGACTAGTGTAATGGGTCGAACAGTCTGGCCCTGTTGGACATTCAGTACCAAACTCATTGGGCTCTGGCCAGGATGGATATTCTGGACAGGAAGACCCTGAATCATGCACAATATGAAACACATTGATTAATAAAAGAAAAGTTGAAATAATCAGAAATGAACTTGGATCTATGAGGTGGGATGGTAGCACCTGTGTGGTAAAGTAAATCGGCTGACTGTTGGCAGCATTGGCAATTGAAGTTGTGACAGGCAGGAGAACCTGTGACAGAGCCACAGTGCCGAGCCCTCCTCCTCCCGGCGCCAAGATGACCTGTTGCCCTTGCACTGCTTTAGGAATATCCGCCGGGACAGCAGCAGGAACTATGCGTTGAGTCACTAAAAGAATAATTGACTGATTAAAAGAGAAGTGCATACATTTTTTTTACCTGTGTGGTAAAGTAAATCGGCTGACTGTTGGCAGCATTGGCAATCGAAGTTGTGACAGGCAGGAGAACCTGTGACAGAGCCACAGTGCCGAGCCCTCCTCCTCCCGGCGCCAAGATGACCTGTTGCCCTTGCACTGCTTTAGGAATATCCGCCGGGACAGCAGCAGGAACTATGCGTTGAGTCACTAAAAGAATAATTGACTGATTAAAAGAGAAGTGCATAAATTTTTTTTAAACACTGTCATCAAGATGGTGCCATTGGCACTGATGTACCATTTTTGTAGTTTATATGACTTTGTGCTTCCAGTATTTGACATGGATTATGTGTAAATAGTGAGAATTTCAGTCTCTATCTTGCACAACGCGTATTAAGCACACACTGTAAATATATAGAGCACAAATACATTTTTAGTATGTTTTTGCCATTTTAAAGTTGGACAGCCCCAGTCCTAAATCACGTTCATGAAATGAAAAACAGCAGCCAAGATATTATTCATAATTTGTTTGTGTTTAACAAAATAGAGAATGTTACACGGGTTTGGAACAACATGAGAATGAGTATGCATATACGGAGTACTGATAATGAGTATATAATGACAAAACATTCCTTAAATAGGTTAAAATAACTGATAATCACTCAACAATGCTATAAGGAACAAATGCTCACATGTATTTGTGATCAGCGGAACTGTGTTTGCTGTGTTTACTACAGGTGGTAGGTTTGGGATCACCATGGTTTTAGGCTCAGCTGGAATATCAACCTTCGCGGCGGGAGTTGAAGACACTAAAAAGCGAAGAAGGACAGGTTTTATATAGCATAATAATATTTATTAAAAGAAACAGAAAATATTTCTTAGTTACTTTAAGTATTTACATGTGTGTAAATAAACAAACATTTAACTATAAATGTTACAGAAAAACCTATAGAATTGCACACCAGTGGGAGTACTGCTTTCAGCATTTCCCCCTGAATCATCCATTGAACTTTGCTGTTGCCATGGTTCCAGCTCCTCCTCCTCACACTCCATAAACAAATCCGCATCCATGTTTCTGACACAAAACACTTGAACAGTGAACATGTGAAACAGTAAACGTGCCTTTACATTTAGGCTAAGATGAAAAAATATAATAACGCTATTACTGCCAATGGCATTTAGTCAAATAAATCAGGAAATGATGGTTTAGTTTTATTTTGGACAGGTGAATGACATGTTTGAAATGAAGACCCTCACAATATTCCCCGGGCTCTGACAGCATTCAGCTCCGACCGGTTTCAACGTCAAGACTGGCGTCTATACAACCACCTCATCCTGCAAATGACATAAATAAAAAACGAGTGAGTAAAACACATTTTGTTTTTACATACATTTGGAAAAAAATGTCTAATATATGCTGGATTAAATGGGTTTGATATCCAGCGCGCCACCGTATCACTTAAGAAAAGCCCTCAATATATTGTGTAAGTACGCGCAATGTGGTTTCATCCAACTGAAAAGGGCTAAGAGAAAAGTAGTTCCTGTACCATTACATCCAGTGCGTGAGACTGGATGATTTGACAGAGCTAAACGAAAGCATAAGCCTTAGGTTTGTGTACAATAACAATAAAAGGGGTTGAAAATCCAAAGTGGGTCGGAACGACGTTTAATACAAATACTCGGTCACAAATTCCGCAGCAACCCCCTCGAGCGGCGCCAACCGAGTGCGCACTCCGCGTACTGCCCTCTGCGCACATAATAAACGACGATCATCTAATGCGTGAATTAAAACGCGAATACATCAAATATGATCGAATTTATAAATAATACTTACCGGATTACAGTCTATATGGAAATATGCTCAATGTGATATATTGAAAGAACACAAAGCCTTGCCGGTACGTCACAGACGAGACGAATAAGTGCGCTAAATGGGCAGAGGTTCTGCTCTTTCTGCGGCAGCGATTGGTTGATGCACGCAAAACGCCCCTTCCTGTTTTGGATTCTGAGCTCTGATTGGCTGTAATCTCTGAAATAAGAAGGAGTGGTTACTGGAACAAGAAAATGGCTTCCTTCCTTGAAACGACAACATTTAACACTGTTTAACCAACTGCTGGTTTAATAGTGGAAAGCAGATAATGTTGGTATTTTATTCAACACTTTGCTGGCGTTTTGCAGATAATCTGTCAAAACCATCATAGATTGGTCTTTTTTGAACAGAATTCTTAATGTTCAGTAATTGAACACTGAAAATATGAAAATATTGGCCAAAATTATCATATATAAGCCCCTTACATGCACAAAGCACTGATAAGTAGGTTAGGAAACAAAAACCAGTACTTTTCCAGAACAGGTTCTATTTTTTAAAGCATACTGGAACAGAATGATTTTTAAGACATTATGTTCCATTAAGGGTTCTCGAGTGTGTGGTCTTCCCAGTGTGGGCGGAACATCACATTTCAGTGTTTACTGCACTACTGTTCAGACTCACTGCAGCGCCGTTACTGAATATACAGCACACAATATTCAACACGACTAGTAAGGTCCGAATCCTGAACAAACGACTCTAATGAATAGGTTCTTTTTAATGAATCGAAAACCTACAGCTCAACCAGTGTACTACGAGTACCGAACAAATGACTCTTCTGATCCGATTCTTTTTAGTGACTCAAAATCATTAGAAGGAGATCGATTATCGATTTCACCAACCTGTACAAAGTTGTAAAGGCTTGTGTGGGACGTCATGAATGGTTCTTCATATGATGTAACTTAAAATAAACTCTTCGAGCTTTGTTGTAATCAAATACATTTTGGATTGTTTCATATTTGACTTAATCCATAGTTAAATAAAAATATTTATTGTTCACTTTTGTCGCCTCTAAAAACTGTGAAACCCCGTAACAAAGTAAACACCATTTGCAAAAACGTTATTATTATTATTATTATTATTATTATTATTATTATTATTATTATTATTATTATAAATATTAAATTTATTTCTGATCTGTAATATCTGTTCTGGTGAAAAATCCCAGATCACTGCTGATTACAGTAAATGCAATAACAGAGAAATAGGAATCGAAATCGTAATAACTTGCGGTTAAAATAAAATAATAATTTCGCATCCCTCGTGAGGGCGCGTGCGGTCGTGCGTAACGTACTTACGCCATTTTCTTGTTCATGGCACGCACAGATCATGGCACAGATGTGTTGCGTTTGTGACAACATACCCACTGCAAAAAAAAAAAAGTGTATTATTCCCATTTTCATAACAAGGCCGATTGTAATTTTACTCTGAATATTAATAAATCTACCATCTGACCACTAATAGTCATGCGTAAAACGTCTTGTGATTCTGAGATAAACGTCGTTTCAAAACATGGAGAAATCTGCTGTTCTAAATGTTTATCAGCCATCTGGCGAAGGGTACAGCAGGTACTAAGCTGTTGTTTAAGTTGCTTAAGCCCTTTAAATAGCATTCTGCACAGAGAGGACACAATGTGACATTCTTGATTTTGTAGACATTCACGAGAGATGAGGGATCAAGTCACATCATCTGATCGAGTGAATTATGGCGCTGTCATCGCGCTGGTCGCAATCAGTAAGTTGCGTGTATTGTTTGACATCTTTAAAACCTTTATTAGAATCTTTATTTATGATAAAACGAGCAGACTGGACAGAAACGATTGTCAAAAATGCTTTTGTTTGCAGCGCACACTTCTTATCAGAAAAGGTTCAATAAAGTTTCGTCTTTTGTTGTTATGGGCGCGTATACAGATTTCTTGCCATATGTCTATGTTTCTTGCATCTCACGACTATGTCGTGTATGAAATAATGTCTGTGTGCATGTGTGTAAAACAACAAACTGATGATTTATATATAATCATTTGTAATTGTATATACAGTAAATTGTTGTGATTAATTGTGGCTGGAACAATAATGTAGCTGTAAAAATAGTTGCCTGCTGAAATTGAAATGTATATATATCTTCATCATGACTAGATGGACACGGTGAGGTTGTCTTTACTTTACACGTTAGATGTGATCCACCTCAGAGTAACAATCCTGTCAGATCGTCCATCCTTTGAGTGAGAGTGTAACGTTACAGGTCGGCCGATCTGGTTTCGTGGTTAAAGTTTCCATGTTGTTGTTGCTCAGCAAAAGCATGGACGTGATGTTGTCTGGAGGTTTGGCAAAAGGAGAGTGGGACTGTGGGCGGTTCTCGGGGTGGTGACTGAAGGCGGTGACTGTGTAGTTCTGAGTCAACTTTTTATGGAAGTCACAACGGTTCATGAAAAATCACAGCTACTTTATGCAGGTTGTGTGAATTTTACTGTGGACTGACTGTTTTGAAACTTATATGGTAGTTACATAGCACCTAGACCTCAGTTATCATGAAAAAAGCCAGGAAATTTCAGTTTTGACAACATGGGACCTTTAAAAGCAAGGGTTACAGAGACAGATCTTAAAGTTCCTTTTTTTCTGACAGGTGTTATGATGTGTCCAAAGTGGACCACAGAGGATGGCTTTGAGACACAGCTGGCTGTCAATCACTTGGGACACTTTCTTCTGACCAATCTACTGTTAGGAATGCTAAAGAGATCCCACCCCAGCCGCGTAGTTAATTTGTCCAGTATTGCACATGTTGGTGGTAATTTCTCTTGATTAAAAATCAGAAATACTCAGAATGTTAAGATTTTAAGATATAAGAATGTTAAGATAAGAAATTAAGACTTTTTTTTTAGACCAGACTATATTATATCTTTGCTTATATTTATGGAAAATACGCCACTATTCAAAATTTTGGGGTCTGTAAAAATAGTTTTGCCTTTAAATGCATTTATTTGATTCAAAAATACAGTAAAAACAGTAATATTGTGAATATATATATATATACATACATAATAAATATACATAATAAATAAAAGTATTTATTCCTTTACAAAATAAAATCTTACTGATCCTAAACTTCTGAACAGTAGTTTTGATTAAAGTAAATATGCCACAAGGATGGAAACCTTTGAGTCAATAAATATCCATATTTGTCACTGTTTTTCTAACAGGAAAGATTGAATTTGATGACCTGTTCTTTGACAAAAGGCCTTACAGTCCTTTGCTCAGCTATAAACAGAGTAAGCTGGCCAATGTACTTTTCTCTAGAGAGCTTGCACGAAGAATGAAAGGTAAAATATACTGCAGTTTTTGGTATAGCAAACAATTTGCAAGCAAAAAGTAAAGAGTATTCTATGTTTTAGTGTTCCGACTTGGTTAGTTTTGTCTCATACTGTGTCAGTTGCCATGTGCAATCTAGTTTGTGGCATATTCATATACAAATAAAGCAATTACATGAATACTCATAGGTACAGGAGTTTCCTCGTACTGCCTGCATCCAGGAGTGATTCGAACAGAGCTGATTAGGCATATTCTGGTACGGTTCCCAGTGCTGAAGATTATACTGTCTCTGCCCTGTATTCTGCTGATGAAAACTCCCTGGCAGGGTGCACAGACCTCTATCTACTGCGCTGTCACTGAGGGCTTAGAGAGCAAGTCTGGCTGCTACTTCAGGTAAATGCAATAATTTGTCACTTTGTCAGTCATTTGTAAACTCAGAATGTCTTGTGTATATGTGTTTGTGCAGTGATTGTGCTGAAAAAGACCCTGCACCAGAAGGAAAAGATGATGAAGTGGCAAGAAGGTTGTGGGAGGAAAGTGCTCGGCTGGTTGGACTAAACATCCGCCACTGATACGTCATACTCGTAGACTGTATAATAACATGGACGTAGTGTCCGTGACATCACCCGTAGGATTCCGAAGAGCGGTTGTGAAGCCTAAAGTGGGCGGAGCCGGCCGTCGCTGAAACCACGCCCACCTAGCTCGACAGTGGTGACAGCAGCGGCAATCCACCTGTCAGTCAAGTGACCACGCCCTTAATTATGCAGAACTTTAAAACTTAATATAATTTAAACGGATGAGTTATAAAAAAATTAACTCCCCTCACAGTTGTCATGAAGGGCAAAATTAGCTATATAGACCAAAACCACTTTTTGTCCCAGTCTGTAAAAAAAAAAATTCTGCTGTAAAGTTGGCCATTTTAACATGGGGAGTCTATGGGACTGACTCCCTTTTGGAGCCAGCCTCTAGCGGCCAGTCAATGAATTGCAGTTTTAGTCACTTCCTTGTTGGTTTCAGGAGTGAGACCGGAAAGTTGCCGCTTGTTGCTTGGTCATACTACTACACTCTTCCTGACTGTAAGCACTCCAACTAGTGGTGATACCTGTCACCCCAAACTCTGACCAGTGAGGTGGCCACAGATGTGAAGTCATGACAGAAATAGTGTCGAGGCAAATTACATGATTTGCATCAGAAGATTACATTTATTTATTTATCAGCCTTTTTTTTTTTTTTGGAAAAGGATAATCAACAAAAAAGTCTCAGAGAATATAGCTGCCTTGCTGTGTTTTCTAAAAAATAAAAATAAATAAAGATCACATTCTTATCATCTGTACATATGTCAGATATATTAAACATAGACAGATTTAGGGAAAGAGCAAAAAGCAAAGAGTGGATTGTTTGTTAACCCTCCAGCAATGAATTAGGTTTTTCAGAAGCTTTGGTCTCAGGATTAATTCTTGATGATGTGATAGTGTCCATTCTAGCACATTTTACATTGTGTCTATATCTTATTAGAACAAAGAATCTTTAAAAAAGAAACTACAGCTGTAGTGAGTCCAGTATGTGCATACCTATTTATATAGATTGTAATTATTATAATTTATATATAATTTAACCAGTAGATGGCGATGAAGATGTGCTTTTGGAAACACTTGCCATGCTATGCATTCCCCCTACCTAAATTATGAAACTGTATCCTTTCACAATGGAGCACTGCAGGTCAATTGAAAGGAAATATATGATGTGATGGAAAGAAGCAGAGACTGAATCACATGATCGCCTTGTGATGTGGTTGTACATTTGCAGTAATGTAACAATGACTCAACAGTCAATATAAAACAGTCCAGCTCCTATTTTTCTTTCTTTAATTTTGCTTTTTTTCATTTTGATTGACATTAACAATGTCACTAAATTCCATAAATTCTATTTTAAAGTTGTCTGATTATTTTGCTTTCTATTTTTAAAAAACCCATTTGTTGCCATTTCATAGTTATTCATTTTTATTTATATTATTGCTATGATTTTCCCTGCTAGCAAACAACAAGTCTGTCCCTAAGAGTTTCCTCCAGGGAATCATTTGTGTGTGAAGTTGGCTTCCAAATAGTTGAGTCATTTTCTTGTATTCATTTCTTTGTATGCCCATTACTGATAATAAGTGACTGGTAATGATGTGTATAGTGTCGCACATAGCGGGCACAGGACAAAGATTTCACGTAAACATGATTAGTCAAAAAAAGTGATTAATCAGAGACTTCAAGGCATGATAATGCACAACACCCTCAGTCATTTCTGAGTGCTTTGCAACAGAGAATAAAGAGGATTTCCAATTAGAAAACCATTGCTGGGACAATCAAACCATCAACTCCCAACCTAATTTAGCTTGTAGCATTAGCACATCATCTATGGTCAACAAAGAGCATAATTCACTAAACTCATTCCATCATATAGCACCGTAATGCTCGTGAAGAGTTGAACCCAATCAATGAGCACTCTGCATGTGTGGCCCCTGTGGGAAATGCCCAGCACCTGCCTGTCTCCGCCGAAGAGCATTAAATGGAGATGTGCCATTTCTCTTGTACATTATTATAAGTTAAAGCTAAACTAAAAAATTAAACAAAAATTTACTGTTCATATAAACAAAATAACTTTGTTTCACAAATCGAACAGATTTGCATTTTCTTGAATATCCATAATGTGCTGATATGATCAGTGGATGTAGTACAATGTGACATTCGTGCAGTTTGCTCTGAGTATAGTTTGCATTGTAACTAATATGAATTTTGCATTCAAATGTGTGGTCTGATGACCTTTTTTTAGGGGAATTTTAGAGACGCTTCTCGCATCTGAAGTCATAAAGCTTATTTCCACCATGGAATAAAAATATACAAATGTTATTGCTTCTTTCTTTTTTTTTGGACTCAATTCTTTTATTAGAATTCTTCTTTTCTCAGAATTCTGAGTTAACATCTTGCAATTCTAACTTTTTTTCTCCCTGGATTCTGAGTTTACGGCTCACAATTCAGTTTTTTTTTTGTACACCTGACCTGACCTGACTTGACTGCATGCATATACAGAATTCAGAGAAATAATAAAACAGAATTGTGAGATGTAAACTGAGAATTCTGGGCGAAAAAAGTCAGAATCATGAGATGCAAACTCAGAATTCTGCTAAGAAAGTCCATTTTTTAGGGGAATTTTAGAGACGCTTCTCGCATCTGAAGTCATAAAGCTTATTTCCACCATGGAATAAAAATATACAAATGTTATTGCTTCTTTCTTTTTTTTTGGACTCAATTCTTTTATTAGAATTCTTCTTTTCTCAGAATTCTGAGTTAACATCTTGCAATTCTAACTTTTTTTCTCCCTGGATTCTGAGTTTACGGCTCACAATTCAGTTTTTTTTTGTACACCTGACCTGACCTGACTTGACTGCATGCATATACAGAATTCAGAGAAATAATAAAACAGAATTGTGAGATGTAAACTGAGAATTCTGGGCGAAAAAAGTCAGAATCATGAGATGCAAACTCAGAATTCTGCTAAGAAAGTCCGAATCGCAAGATATAAACTCAGAATTCTGAGAAAAAAAGTCAGAATCAAGAAATATAAACTCAGAATTCTGAGGAAAAGTCTGAATCGTGAAATGTAAACTCAAAATTCTGAGAAAAAAAGTCACAATCACAGATTGTAAACCTAGAATACTAATAAAAAGTCAGAATTGTGAGATATAAACTCTGAAGTTCTGACAAATAAGTCAGAACATGAAATGTAAACTCACACTTCTAAGAAAAAAGTCAGAATCATGAATGTAAACTCAGATTTATGAGAAAAAGTTAGAATTATGAGATAACTGTATAAACTTGAAATTGCAAGAAAAAAGTCGCAATTACCTTTTTTAGTTTTTATTCCGTAATGGAAATAAGCTTCCATAATACTGGTCAGTGAAACATAAATACAAACTTACACCAGGGATAGTTCACCCTCATGATGTTCCAAACCTGTATGACTGTCCTTTTAAAAGTGAGTCAAAACTATGATGCTCTTCATTAACAATACAGACATGAGCAAGTCTACAATTCTGAATCACTGTGTTCTTATAAAACGACGTCATCGTGGCCATCTCTGTTTGTTTTGCCCCAGGGGTTAATGTTGTGCGCAACCCCCTATCCATTATGCCTTGATAAGGCTTTTGGGAGGGTTTGTGGGAAATGGGAGGGCCGTAGTAGAACCTCAATGGAGACCAGTTGAGCACTGAAAGGATCATAAAAGCTTCATGTTCCTGAGTCCCAGAGTGGTTGGCTCCAAGAGCCAAGGGGTCACGACAACTGCTGACCCATTCTGTTGACTCGTCTGTTTGGGGCCCCATTAAATTCAGCCCTTCACTAGCTCTGAGGGAATTTGATTCAGCTTAACTGCTGTGTTTTTCTGACCAATTTAGTGCTGGAATGCAGCAGACCCGATAATAATTGTACACGGATTGGTCTTTCATTCTAAAGAAAGGACTAGTGTACAGGACTCCATTCCCGGGAAAGCCGGTCTGATTTGCACCGCCTTAGGGGTCATCGTTAGTCTCTCTGTTATTTATGAGTTTCCCTATACACACACACACACACACTACCTCTAAAGCTATCTGAACCAGGGGGTGCTGGCACAAAGGGAACTACTAATAAAAATAGCCTTGGGACACAGAGAGGGAGGTATAACATGAGGAATATCTCACTCTATTGCTCACAAAGGAACTGTTTTTATCTCGGGAGATAATCAGTTTGGCGAGAACCGCCATGCATAACAGTCCGTTGAAACCTGAGAGCTCATCTTCCTGATCTTGGATTCGACTACAGTAAACATGCTGCGACCATGAGGGAAGGTGGAGGGCATGTCGGGGCGGTGGGCCAGGGGCGAGAACAGGTGTGGGAGAGTGAAATCTGAGAAGGATAACCGACAGTTATCACCAACAGCTGATGAGATAGCACAGTCATCCACTGGCTGCTTACTCAGCATGAAACCCCCTGCAAATACACCTGCTTTAGGATTTTAAGATCTGTGAAGACACAAATGTGCGTGTTTGTACTTGTTTCGCTATAGCTGTCAGGGCCAACAACAAGACCCCAAATTTGAGGTAATATGTGGCATTTCATTAACTTCTAAAATGAATTATATGTAACTAAACCAAACTAAAATCAAAATTTGTAGTGCCTTGGTGAAAAGCAATAGTTCTATATTTTCTTCAGCATTATGATCAATACTGATGCATTTTTAATCCTAAAAAATAGCAATTAATAAAGTAAATAATCCAAAATAAAATAATTAATATTTGATAAATTATACAAAATACATTTAAATACAAATAAAATAATTACATTACAAAATAAAATATGAGCAACTGTAAGTAAGAATGGAGAAAAAAATATTTAAAGGGGTCATAGGATGCTACATGCACTTTTACAAGTTGTTTGAACTGAAATGTGTGTTGACAGTGTGTGTACACAACCATCCTATAATGATAAAAATCCACCCAGTGTTTTTTTTTTTTTTTTTTTAAATCTGGTTAAATGTTTTCCCCTTTCTCAAATCGAGCTGATCTCAGATGCCTGTCTGTGTGACGTCACACAGACAGGCCCCTCCCACGATAGTTTGATTGACAGTAGCGTTTCAGCACAGACTGGACTGGTGTCTTACCTCAGACCTGAGTGAACTGTCATCA